GAGGTCTCGATACGTCACTGTCACCTACACGCGCATTGGATGTCGCACACGCGCGCTCCTTCCATGTTCCCCTCCCTATCACCCGATTACAAAGCCGGTTGGAATTATATCGGTGTGTACAGGCGAGTATATACACACGCAACGCGTCTGGGGCCTCGCGATTTCTGCGAACGTCGAACGATGACTCCGCTCGCGGAGACGCCGCCTCGAAGTACAATTGACCGGGTTCCCCGAGGTCAGAACCAATTACGGTGGATATCAGCGAAAACGATTTGTCAATCAAGACCCGACGGATTATTCACGAACCTAACCGAGACCTACACCCTGACTTCCTGCCGTCACGTATGTGATTCACCTCTTTCGTCTTTTCTTTTAGGCAGGAAATATGCCTTTCTTCTCCTGGCTTCTTTCTATCCGGTTCTTCGCTCTTTGGACATGGTCAGGCTCACTTGTTGCCTTCGTTTCCAGAGATTTTTGAAGCACACAATCCCTGGCCACATTAATGTGACCACTTGGAGATTTTATTGAAGAACAATCTTTTTTTCTCAGTGCTACCAGTGCACGAGAAATTATTGTCTCTATTTTTATTAAACATGCCACCGTACTTTTTTGACATTGGAGCAATTTTGTCATTTTATGCATTTACTCTGCTTTTGTCTAGTATGCTCGGTATAGCTTAATAATAATTAGGCATACAAGTGCATATTTTCAAAATGAAATAAAACACTTAAGGGTTAAATAAGTGTTGTCCATCGAGCTTTAAGATCCTACAAAAAATGTCAATTTCAGACTTTCAACAATTTTGTACTAGTTATATTTATAAAACAATAAATGTTCTTGTTTAGGAAGTCAATGTTTCTTCGCATAATTTAATGACGCCGATCACCGGTGACTATCATGGCAGTCAATGTGTTAATTATAGAACTTGGGTGACTTCTTGATAGATTTACGACACTACTAAGACCCCATTTTAGCGACCTCTTCCCCTCTAAATTGAACATGACTTAATTATGTTGAAAGTGTGAACTTTAAATTCGATGTTTGTTGTTTCTTCAAAAGTTCACTGGGTCCAGATGATTTATTCTTAATCAGTTTAGACGGAGAGACAGTATCAGTGCGAGTTTCTCGACGCATTCCTCCCCATAATTCACTAACGTGTCCTATTAATCTAAATTTTCGTATTACTCGAGCGACCTTTCCTCCTAATTAATCACAATGAATGATGTTCTGCTCGGCTATTAAGATGCTCCCCCAGGCAAAGTTGACGTTGAACAAACACATCTTCCGTTAGAACTACAACATATTTTTCCAGACAGTGACGTAAACACGCTTCCTCCCCCTTTAATTAACGTCCAACAAATAGGAACACTTTTCATTTTTTGCCTGGATTGCACATTTATCGTTGTATTTTAATCAAATAATAACATAGACAAGTAAGTCCCCAGTCCCTAGGTAATTGAATTATGTCTTAAAACTTTCCTAACGTCATAATTACGCAGTGGATTTTATGCATTCATAGCCTTAGGGTCTGAGATATACAATAAAGGACAAAACTTTCATTAACGACTTTTCCATTTTACTCTTAACCCAATAAGATACTTGAGAGAAGAAAAAAATTCCCATATTTGCTCTAGTCTTAATGAATTACTTTATAAAATGTAATTACATATAAAAACCCGTACTCTGGTCATAACACAATTCTAACCATCCTAAAGGATAGTCAACGCTTCTCCCCATAAGTCGTGTCAATACAAATCGTACCTACAAGAATATTTACTTTTTGGGGTCAGAGGAACAAAAACTTCACACTTTGCTCACAAGCTCATCGCCAGATTTTCTGGTCCTGAGTCAACAACCCAATTTTCCGTATCCATCGGGGTCCGTTTTCAAAGGTTTTCGGGCAAAAACTACCATCACGCCCCGCCGTGTCTGTCATCGATTCCCATTGTTGCGTACCACCGGCATCGGGGGCCGGAAACGGACACAGCACCGGCTTCTTAACGACGTTTCGACACCAGCCGGCCCTTCTACCTGCCGAGCCCCCGATGGCCAAGGTGGAATGTGGGCCGGACAGGTGAGAGAGGAGAAATGTGTGAACGGGCCCTAACGTCGTCGAGGAAGCGCAACCGATCGGGACAAGATAATTCGAAGCGTCCCTTCGATCCCTCCATAACACTCGTTCCAAAAATCCCAAGGGACACAGTTTTTAGCCGCAAATACCAAAAAAGAAAGATCCTAAAGCCCTTCAAATGTTAGGTCAAAAATTAGAAACTGAGAAATTTTACGAAATTGTCGATAATTGTTAAGCATTCCCGATTTCTATCTGTTCTGAGAATTCGAAGGACACCTGGAATCGTTGTCTAAAGTCTACACTGTAGACTTTTCGAACCCTATTCGGGGGCAGTAGATATTTCAGATCCTAATAGAGTCTAATATTCGACAAAAAGTACCTATGCTATCTAAGAGGATTTTCTTAAAATTTTTTGGAATAAGAGTTTTATATTCTAGGCTTCCAGAGATCCTAAGAAACCGTGACAATTCAGCATTCCCAATTTCTTTCCATTCTGATCATTTCAGAGACTCCTACAATCGTTCTAGTCCTTTCAAACCATACTAAATGACAGTAGTTTCGACGAGAAGTATACAATTCATAATGATTTTCTCAAGATTCTTTGGAACGTTAGTTTTAAGACCTGTGACAGAGACAACTTAAAAATAGAGAATTCAACGGAGACTAATTGAGAAGGTGACTCTTGTGTTGCGTTATTTTTCTTCCACGGAGTCGCGTTATATAACGGATGACGAAAGAAGATGTGACGCGAGACTGGCGTCACGGAGGAACCGTGGAGACGACGAATATTTTCATCGATGGCTGAGAGGCGTTTTGCTCGCGTTTCCGCGCCTCGACCGAAATAATGCGTCTGTGATGCAAGCAGCTCCATCGCAGCGAAGAGAAAACGACGCGAAACGATCCGAAAATTTTCGATCATGGACCACGTGATCATCCACTGTTTTTTCCGTTTAAACGCACGTCTTGCACATTCCTCCGCGCGCCGCGGGGTTTCGTTTCGGGAAACAGTCTTGGATTCCGTGGAAATCGGAGCCGTGCTCGATCGTCGATCGCGACTGTGTTCCTGAACGGTTCAGGGAAAACGAGAAACGACCGTGGGTGTCCGTCGACAGGATGTTTTAACGGTCCAGAGAGGGAAATTGTGTATCGAAACGTTGCGTAGAAAATCATGATTTTATGTGTATACCGAGTTGTAGATCGTAGATCGTGGGAAATAGACTGAACGTTATAGACGCCATACCTAGGTGTTTACGACACAATGAAATACTGTGTTAAAAAGGTTTTGGAGATCGCTACTGTGACGGAAGAAAGAAAACTTTATTTTCGAGTTTTAACAAAATTCGAAACGTCACTCCAAAAAGTATCCGATTTCGCGTGAAATAACTCTAACACTATTAACAGCTAATTATATGTGTATGAAAAAGTATTCGAAAAAAATATGTCGTATTGACTAGCAGAGCGATTTCAATATATGATCCTCTAATTATTCCGAACTGTGTACTTTTGTGGAGAGTAACTGCTTGATTACGATAATTTCAATGCTTTGTAGTTTGTCGATGAAAGTGTAGTTTAAAATGCCTTGAATAATTCCTGGTGGAGAATATAAAAAAATGGGTTCAAGCAGAGATGGGCAAATTCGTTACCTAAATAAAAAATTTCGAATAACGAATGAAAGATAAAAAAGTACTTCGCCATTTTTAATAGCATAACTGTGAAAATTTCAATTTTTACAATAACATAATACTTCTTCTCGAATGAGTAGACTCTTGGCAAACAATTACTTCATTTCATTAACTGTTCAAAGGTCAGGATAACGATCCCAGATACTGCTGTTTTTCACGAATAAAATTGTGACCAACTCTGGGTTCAAGTTAGGAGCAAATTTTTGCCAGTTGGTTGAGGATGACGCGTGGCAACGGGTTCCCCTTTCATTCTACGACGATCGAGCTACAACACGATGGCGAAAATTTCACTGGACCAGAACCCATCGTAAATGAAACGTCCCTCTCTCTCCCTCTCGTTCTCGTAAAATCGAGCGGTCGTAGTAAACACGTGGAGCGTGCACATGTCTCTCAGATCGTACGCGCAACGCGCGCATGCTCCGGACAGTGTGATCGTATTTGTTTATTCGCATTTCGCCAGAAACAACACGTCGAGGGTCATATCGACGATTAATTGGACCGAAGAGTAGGAAATTGCATTCTGTCTGCCAGAATCAGTGTCTGGTTCGTATTTTACATTTAAAAATAAAGTTCTTCGGAATATTTGTAATATCTGCCGGTGATTGCGAAAGTGGCCCCAGTAAAAAATCTAAAAAAATTGAACATATCGCGTCTTTGGATAACATCTCGACAATAACAACTCATTGACTCATGTTGCAATAATATGGAAACTTTTTTGCTAAATATTCAATTATTTAAAAACAACAGAAGAAAGCAAATGGTATAAGCTGTTTGACAACAATTATTCTTTACATTCATCAGGAAGTGGAATTTCAAGGAAGATTCTTCAAATACGTTCCAAATCTCAAATTCCACTATTATATACTCCACCTTCTATTAATTTAACACACAATTTTCCAATCAGTGTACTCCATCCCAGTTCTAGTCCAATTCTTTCCTCACTACCCTCACATAACAACACTAACCACTAACTATAATTCACAAAAGCTCCCTTTCATCGATTTTCGTCTACCACAACAAACTATAAATATTCTCAGCTATATCTTCTAAAACAAACTTTCCTCATAAATAAAACTAAAATTCAATCACAAGGAGTAATCCACCGTGTTATTCAACGTGATCGTTATCAGACGTGACTATCGACATCTCGCCAGTTCATTTCCCATTCGGATCGCTGGACGCAGGATCGTGGTTCACGTAACCACCGACAGAAGGTTGTAGAGAAGTCGTGCAAAGAGTTCACTCACCTTCACCAGAGAATTCACGACCGGACTGTCCAGCAGGCCCTTGAGGAACAGCAGGTCCGTGTCCTCCGCCACCTTGCCCAGCTCCTGCAGGTTGTCGCGTACGTGCATGAAGGCGGCTGGAACAGCGACCACGCACTTTTCCATAACACTGTGACGACGACTATCCACGTCGACGACGACGGGGCAACGACACTACGCCGGCGGGACGGGCGGAACCGTGAAGGGGGCGCAAAAAGGGGAGAAACGAGACCGGGGGCGAGGGGGTGGGTGGGCCGCGGGTGTGGCCATCCTCCGGCCGGATCAATATTCGGGTAGCCACAGGTGGGTACGAACCTTTGGTACACGCGGCTCCCTTTCAGAGTGTGATAAATCGAACTGGGAAAAGTCGTCGGCGAATATGGAACGCCGCGTCAGAACAATGAATTACAATAATTCACCCCTGACACGTGTCGTGGATATTTTTTTTTTTTTTCAAACACGTTTTGTATGATTTTGAACATTTTATCGAGGATACGGTATGTTTTGGTTGGTTGTACAATTCTTTTGGTCCTTCTTGGGGATATTGATTAGGTGGAAAGTTGAAAGAGAAGTTAAGGTGGGGGTGAGGAAAATTAATCGTTTAGAATCTTGAAGCATTGTGGAACGTTGTTGTGAAGATTGATTGAATATTCTGATCCATAAATTAAATTTTTGAGTGGGTTTCTGGCTGGAAAATTTTTGTGATTTCGATTATTTTATCGAGGATACGTTTTTGTCTCGGTTCGTTGTACAATTCTTTTGGTCCTTTTTAGGTGTATTGATTAGCTTGAAAGTTGAAAGGGAAGCCAGGGGAGAGATGAGGAAAATTAATTTTAAATAATATAGTGCTCGGGGCATTGTGGAACGTTGTGGTGAAGATTGATTAAGGATCATGATCGATAAGTTAGACCTTCGTGTGGGTTTATACATGGAAAATTTAAGTAGTTCGAGCAGCGAAGTCGATACTATATACATGAAGTTTACATTGAACTCTGTCTTGGTTAATGTGAATGAAGATTGGATGAACTGTAGATAATAATTGATGACAGACCTTGCTGCACAAGGTTGAATAATGGAACGAAGCAGAAAATAGTAATCTACGGGGACTGTAGTACCTACGTCTTCAAAATAATGTGAAGTTTCTTCATTATAGACTTCTGCTAAGAACGTAGTAAAACATTATACTTATACCTTAGCCATTCATTTATGAGAATTTTTAATAAATTATAATATTATTATATTTCAATAAATTGTATACTATTAGGTTGTTGCACACGAAATGATCGATTCATTACTAACACATGATATTGTACTGACCATTGTACGAATTTTTTAGACAAAGTAAGATTAAATAAATTCTATACACGTTTTTCCTTAAACTACAAGAATAACATACATGTCATTTTCAGTATATAATTATTATACTGAATTTGAAGATGACTCTTCAAAGACACTTTTGGCTGCTATCTTTCCGCGGAAAGTTGTAGTCACTAAATAGTATTTTTTAGTAAAAACTTACATGCATCTTTATAAAATTTATTCATGAATTCGGTTCAAATGTCAATCTTCTAATGCACGTGGAGGAAATGGCCGAATTTAACTGAGAATGATTCTCTACCTTAATTAATTTTAAAATAAAGAATGAACGTTAATAATTTTCATTCATAAAAGCAGTGTCAAATATATCTATCAGTAAAATCGCCAATTTCACGTGCAACGACCGAATAGTTCATTCCTACAGCAACACAAACAATTACATAACCAGGACAGACACAATAATATAGAGCAAGCTCAAGGACGGAGAAATTATCGTCTTGCTAACAATTTGGTTAGACTACTTAAAGACATAATTCACGGGTACCAGAACTAATTAGACCCGCGTGCACTGTACAGACATTTATCGCAATTTTTCAATTTCGTTTCGACGATGTTTATATAATTCCTTCTCCTGATTTCAGTCGGGCCGGTCTAAATTTACTGAAAGAATCTCCGAAAAAAAAAACGATTTATTGTTTCGGAGCAGATTTGACGGTGGCATAACGTAAGCTGTGTCGGAAGAGCTTTTTACGATGTTTACTTCTCAGAGATGGACCGCGCACTTGCGTTTCGAGGGCTTTCGATAACCAGCTGTCTGCTTGAATACGTACAAGACGATAAGCGACGTCGTCGACGTAACGGTTGCATGATAAATGCGTTATGAAGGTACATATATCGGTGCACGGAATTGACCACAAAAGAACTAACAGCGTATCCGCGTGTATCGTCTGTCACGAGCGAGCCTCGACCTATTTCTCACCGCAGTTTAGACTTTTAATGGCTTCGTAAAAGTATTTGCACGGATCTAATAATAACCGTCATTTTTCCTTCTCATAAATTGTGGGAGATAAAAGAACTTAGAACTCTTAGAGCAGATGGTACAAGTGGATCCTCAGTTATCCCTGTTTTAAATTGAAATGTACAAGACAATAGGAAATTATTTCGACGAGATCGAGTTTGTGCCTTGGATGGGGTTGTTTCTCTTATCAACCGAGAAAGATCATCGAAAAATTGGTGTTGGATGGATTAACTACCAGTGCAAGAGGTAGATAGAGAGAGTAACTTCCAATTCGACGATATTTCGTTGAAGGTTCGGTGAAATACGGGGATATAAAAGCGGAGGAATAATATTGATGCACGCGAAATCGACCAGAGAAAAAGAGTTTCATCTCAGGGCTCCTCAAGAACCTGGAATTCCAAACTCGTTCCCGAATAACTTAATATTTCTTCATAATTCCGCGGAATATCGTCCCGTCTACCTGGGATTCATCGATCAGGACGTTCGAAGAATAGACAGCCGGAGAAAATCACGATCGTTTCTTTACATTTTCCCCAGACTGTTTTTCACGCGATCGAATAGACGACGCCGATTATAAATAGAAAAGAACCGTGCGCGGTTTGACGCAGTTTGCAATCGTTGTTTCAACGCTCTTTACCGTTTTCGATGTGATACAATTTCGTCCCGTTCACGGCGTCGATGCTGTCCAGCAAACGACGATCCTCCAGCTTCTCCTTCCTCCCGAAGAAAACCATCTTTGATGTGTTTCACGAACAGAGTACTTTCTCGTCCAGTTGATCGCTAGATCTTGTGTCAGATCCACTCGAACAGGATTCACATCTTCACCGATAATACAAATAAACTCTATCCCCCTTATAGAAACTTCATATACCTTCTACATTATTTGTACAAACACCTTTCATTCAGTTGAACTAAATTGAAAACGTCACAAGACATCGATCGTGATCTTCTTTTATTTGGCCCGTCACGAGACCAGAGATATCTCACGTTCGTTGTAGGTCAGTTCCTCGAATCACTTGTTTTTTCTTCACGATTATGAATTTTTAACTATTCCTTGATCCACGTGAAGTGTGACTGGTCCAAGATTTGTGACACTTTTCCCTGTTTCATAGAGAAACACTGGAGTCAACGCACGATTTTCCGGCACAGATGGTAGAAGCAGCGTGTCTGTTGCACGACTGTACGTCGCAGTGAATGGGTGCGCTGTCTTACACCTGCCGGGACCCTGGGTCCCCGACTCGGCCAGGGGACTGAAAGCGACACCCCGTGGAGGTGACGGGACTACGGAGCTAGCCCAGCGTCGAGAAAGACCGAGCCACTTTTTAAGGGCATCACGACGGAGAAAGTGGATCCTTCTAACGTCACGAACGCTTCTCCGATGACGACATTTCGTTTCGTTCACGCTGTGGATATAATCCGTTCGATTGTTGACACGCGATGATCGCGTACATGCTGCGTTATTTATGTAACTTCAAAGATATACGTTGGTTTATCGTCGATGGGGAACTCGTTGCTGAACGATATTGTAATTCCGTCAGGATTTTGTTCGCCTGACAGCAGGAAAAATTTAAACAATTTCTGTATTCGACGTCTTGATAGATTAGGATCTCTGAATTATTATGCTTTTTTTAGGATTTGTTGTTTATCGCTCCATACATTCGCGTTATTGTGGAAATTCGGAGATTTGAATGTAACTTTCTTGTCGGGTGAAGTGTAATATATTTCTGATGAGTTTTGTAGTTGGAATTGTTGTTTCAAGTCTGGTAGCTTTTGATCTCGCGAGTATAGATACTTTGCCGATAGATTACTTGCTATGTCACTGGGAGAATCTACCAGTCATAGTTAATAGCTTTCGAATGATTGAGTATCGAGGGTTGTGAACGTAATTATTTATAGAAGTAATATTAATAGATAGTTTTCACGTCTTCAAACGTCTTCAAACGTCACTAGATATCTTCGAATGCTTTCGAACGCCTTCAAACATCTTCAAACACCTTCAACCGACTACGATTGTGTTCAAACCTTTTCAAACGTCTTCAAACATCTTCAAACGTCTTCAAACGTCTTCAAACACCTGCAAGTGTCTTCGAACGTCTTCGAAAAATCGAGTTTGAACTTCTAAATATCCTTCCGCGTCCCTTTTTGCTGACTCGATCGAAGAAATTGTAGATCTCTGGCAGTAGCGGGCGAAACGCGTGCTATCGTCGCCGAGGAACGATCGGGACTGGCAGGAGATTTCGTTTGTCGGGTGGAACGAGGGATCAAAGGGAGAGAGGAAAGCTATTCTTATTTTTCCAGACGAGACAGAACGAGAGAATCAGAGAGTCGGGGTAGGGAGCGCACGAGAAAACGTAAGCACCACCGACTGAAAATTGCCCGCAAGGAATCCCGAAGCTTCCGAGCCGATGGGGCCAGAAACGAACCAGCTGGTTTCTGGTAGAGGAGATTTGGAAGGGGGGCGAGCAGAGAAGAACAAACGAAGAAAAGAAATAAATGCATACGTAGTCGCCGAGATTTGGCGTCGTGACGCCAAGCGTCTGCGTGTCGACGTCAGCTGCAAGTGCTCCATTCGAACGGTTGACGTTCTATTTGTCAACTTTCATTCGAAATAGTACTAAAAACTATTAAAATACCATGTGGTGCAACGATTAATATACAGGGTGATCCCCCTAACGTGAACACCCTTAGTATCTCATTTGCTTTTGATTTGCAGAAAATTAATTTTAATAAATGTCCAAAAGTGGTGTCCATCACTTCGATATCTTTTTGCATATATTCCTTTATCGTAATTATTTTATTATTTAAATCTACTCTCATACATTTTTGGATTTTTCGCAATGAAGGTCATATTATTACAGGTCATTGGAATGGTCTTGATCTCAATTTTTACGTCACGTTGATAAAAACATGCAGTCCCGTTTAAGAAGACATCGTTCCCTTGAAATTTCGAAAAATATGACCCTCAGAAAAATGTTTGCTTATCATAGTATCTGTTCCTTTTAACCGAATAATACTCTCCCTCGCATTTTATTGCATCTTTAAAAACAAGTGAACTATTGAAGTTGCTCACGTTAGGTGGGACACCCTGTACAATGACAGATACCACTATGTTGTATGAAATACAGTGTTTAATGTATCGATCTTGGTAACGAACAACTATTTCCTAGAACCATTGTGTTGGATATGAAAAGGTATGTTATTTTACGTTACTGAAACGTGTGACGCGAGCACGTGGCAAGTTTTGTGCGGTTTAGAAGAAACGGTAAAAATAATTTTTTTTTCCAGGAAGGAGAAATAGAACACAAGGTAGCCATGATAATAAACGTTCGCACATCAGAGATCGTTAGCGTACAACGCTGGTTACCGTTTGTCAAATATTTTACGATTTTAATTATGTGTCTGGTGCCCGGTAATTTGTTTATTGTTTTGTTAGCTACGGCTGTCCATTGGCCTGGTTACGTTGCCTTTTCAGTGATCCCAGAAGCTGCTTCTTATCAGAACGGCCATAAAAGTCAGACGGTTACCGACCGTTGGCGTGGCGAAGAAGTGGAGAACGATGGAGAGGAAAAAAAATGAAACGGAGCGACGAGATATCTCAGGAATTTTTCATCAATTTCTCGAGAAACGATTGAAAAAACTTAATGTTCGCGATCCGAAACGTTGAAAGACTGCTTGGAAATATTGGTGGAATTCGTGGAAACGAATTTACAGAGAAAAAAGAACAATTTGGAAGACCAAGAAAAGAAGAAATTTCTGTAGAATAGGTGTCCATGAATGTGTCCAGGAAAAAAGGAAAGGATGGAAGACAAGCTTTTGTGAGAAAGTTTCAAGCTTATAACATTTCATTATAAACCTGACGAAAATTACGGTGTACCATTAGTATTAACTTTTGCTTAAGGTTGCAAGCTGTATGGAAGTTTTGTTATTAGCCTCATCGATCCATCCGAGTTTCTCTTCGCAGACCACGTGTATGGGTATCGATACTTTGTGTTTGTTCGAACTTTCTTATATACGATATAATTGATTTGATTGACTCTTAATTGCAAAACACAGAAATCGAAAATTTCAGGATAATCTTATACTTATGTGACATACTGAGTCGTGGTTCGAATTTTCTCGACTTATGGTCGTTCGAATCATATTCCAGGCGTGGTGTTGTGACACGTGGGTCAACCGCGACGTGAAAAGTGGAGCGTAAGCCCGCATCTGAAGTGCTTCCCCGGAAATCACGTTAAATTTAACAAGATCACAGCCAGTTCACTCTTAAGAAAAAGCATCTTTAAATTCGAGAGAACAAAACTTCTTCGAGAAGTCTTCAAAAAATCTTTTCAAAAATCTCGCGAAAACTACATCCTCGAGATTAGTATCCTCGATAAACTCGATCAAAGTCAAAGTCCACAATCCAACGAAGTGGCAAATGGATGCAAGTTAGATCTATAAACAAAAACTTCGTTAAACTTCATCAAACATAGCGCAACCTAACTACGAAAACAGCTTCTCAAGAGATAAAATTGATTTAACGTTCTGCAATAACCATAAGATTTCGAAATTTCAGGGGAAATCGAAGGGAGTCCATTGAAGCCTCGACTACATCGAACCGAGAACCGAATTCAGTTAAAGAAACCTCGGAAATAGAAGTTCAAATAAACGTCGTTAATCCCGCCGGAACCAGATCAAACGCGACCGCCCCGAGCAGTCCATTAAGAATTACAAAAAAACCAATAAATCGTGTGCTTCACCGAAGTGGATGAAAGCATCGTAGATACTAGAATCATCGCGCGGGGACCATCAAAAACCCGCAAAGCCAAACAAACGGGCCGTTGTCGGTCGTATCGACTCACCGGAAGTGGAGTTCAGATGAGGCAATTCTTTCCTGGGGATGATCGAGCATCCGCAGATGTCCTCGATATCCATCATCGACCTGCTGTTCTTCATTCTTGTGACTAGTTTCTCGTTGTTGCCAAGCTGTTTCAGGTGATCATTCCAATAGGTATCGGGCGATCAGCATGGATCCCAGCCCCTGTTGTTCCACTCGTGGGATCGAACTTCCTTTGCCGGTCCGAGTCCTCGATCGATGATCGGCAACCTTGTCATGCTATCCTTTAGGAACGTTCCACGTGTTTTCCCCTCCTCCCCCTCCGTGAATCGATCAACACGAAATCAAAATGGTAGTATCGAGATCACGGGATCTATTCATAGATATGCACACCGGCGTGGAGGTGGGCTATGGATCGAGAAACGACGAGAAGAACGAACGAGGAAGACCGCAACGGGACCTATAAGCTCGCGCTCGGTTCGTGTCCGGTACTTATAGCTCGGCCGAGCGGGGGGTTGGGTTTTTACACCCTCTCTTTCTGTTTCCATCTCTCTCTCTCTCTTTCTACCGAGCTTCCTGCCTAGCGAATTCGCGACTCGTGGCAACGAGTGCGTTCTGATCGATCGATAGTAAAACGCGCGCCCACGGAAGGGCAGACGTTATTGTTGATTGCGACCGCGGAACTGGGACGTCTCGAGGATCTGAAAACATGTACTTTATTGATCTAGTGCTCGATGTCAAGGGTCGAGGTTTCAGGGCTGAACGAGTTCTCGTGGATGGAAAGTGTATGGATCTATGGACGAAAGACAAAAGTTTTCTGTATTATTAGTGTCTAATTGTGAAAAGAAGTATTTGTTTATGCTCTTTGAGGGGATATATGCAGTCCGTATTATGGATGGATGAAAATGGTTTATAATGTTTCCACTGTATCTGTTTCAGTTGGATTTAATCGACTCGGGATTTGGGATATTGTGTGTATATTAAAGGCGTTTGAGTTACGATTTGTAGTGTTGTAGTTAATGTTAAGTTGTTGCAAAGGAAGGGGAATGATTATCGAGAGGCATAAAAGAGAATAGAATATAATTGTTTTTGTCTACTTGATCGAGGTAAATAGCAATTATTTTCGAATACAAATGATTTTTAAATTGTATTTATAAAATTGTACCAGACAAAATGATTAATAACTAAATTTGTTTAGTTATCTCATTTATGTATAAAAGTGTAGAAAAGCATGGGTTAGTGATTGTAACAAATAATGTACTGGACGACTGAGTGGGGTGCGCGCACGTGGGTGAGAAATATGTGTGAGCGAAGGGTGTTCCTATGCAACAATAAAATAGCCTGCAATAAACAAGCGCCTACTGTACGACATCATACCTAACCTGTATGCAACAACATTATTTCAATTGCTCCTTGTTGATAAGTTGTTACTAAGATATCCGACCTTTGAATATTATAAAACAGATCTGGAGCAATTTTTTGGTGCCATAATATTTGTGTAAAAAGGCCATTTACTATCTATTTTGTAAACAACAAGTTTTTTCTTTTTCTTTTGCGAATATCTCATTAACTATAAACGGTGCTGTGGAAGCAATCTTTTGAGATATAAATCGTTAAGATACGTTAATATTCGGCGCCAACTATTTTCCGGTTGTTTTTCTAGTGATATATTATACTGCTGCCATCTCGTCGACTCCGTGGGAAGCTAAAACGATGGTAATACTGCAGTTGCATACTTGCAGGCGCTTTCAACCGATCTCTGATAACGTCATTATATTCTTCGTTATCAACGAAAGGTGTCTCTACTGATTAGGAAAGTGAATTACTGTTCAATTTGTTTAGTAAGCATCTGCCGATGCAGGCTGTACCTGAAACGTTATCGCGAGGATTTAAGTGTCCTCTGCACCCTAAATGACCGAAGTCGGTGCTTTAAATTCTTTCTGGCTGTTAATGCAAACATAAACGTGAATGTTACCGACTCCTGAAGTTGCTTACAAAAATTTACAATATTTTTTACAAATATTTAACTTGATTTTGTATTTCCTTCAATTTCTTTTATTTTTCAACGTTCATCTAGGACTTTTGTCGTGGACTTCCATTTATCAGCTGTAGCATTCCGGATTCAACTATCGGAAGCGTATACATTGACTGTCAAATAAACAAATTCGACTGTTTAAAGTTCAAATTCTCAAGTTCCGTCTCTTATATTACAAACTTCACCTATTCCACATTCCCCTTCACAAGGCTCGAACTTCTAACACAACTTCCACCATTGAAACCTTAAGCTTCCATCTTTCACACATCCAACAACCAACCCTCCCCGTCTATGACACCTGAAATCTCGAAGTTTCCACTTCCATATCTTTCACACGTGTCAGACGTGCAACGTAGTCCACCTGTTCAAATTCAATCATCCATCCTCTACCGTTCACAGCTTCAACATTCCGTTAACATTTTACATTCAATATATTGCGAAAATCCTCGTTCACGATACTGAATATTACACCGAAAGGCTTGATCCTAGGACCTACGTTTGATTTAGACATTTTTTACTCCATTCGGTGAGTACCGTAAGCTCCCTAGAGTCTCCGACCATTTTCTTTTATCACCCTGTATATCTTCTCCCTTCCTACTCGTCGCTATTCCCATTGATATAGTGGAGACGATGTGATTTACTGGGTCAACAGAGCGTGATGATAGGGAAGGGAACGTTGTCTCACAATTGAAAAGTGTCGGGCTTAAAAGGACCCAGTGAACGAGGTCCGAGCTTCTTATCGATGTTCACAGACCCATCGTGACGGTTTACGTCGTCATAAAATCTCGGACCATTTACACGAATTACCTTTTCGTAGTAATTCATCGTATCAATTGGAAGATTGAGCGAACAGGGGGGAAGCTCCGATAGTCGGGATATCCAGGCCAGCACTGGCACCGCGGATCACGTTTATGATACTCGGGCGAAACGTGCCTCTCGTCGATCGAACTTGCTTTAATACCGTACGATTAGTTCTCGCGGATGGTCGATCCCATTTTTTTCCTGGCGTATCTCACGAGTCGAGATAGCCTAATCGGCGGGGGGATACGTGTACTCGAAACGTGTACTCGGATTAAGGTAATACGAAGCTTGCGGTGGCTCGGAGATTAGAACCTCCCAGTTTCCATTCCCAACCGCCGCGACTCATTAGCGTGAATTGATGCACGCGAATAGTATGCGAAATTAGAATTGAACTTCCTGTTGGCTGGCCGTGAAACGAAGTGTTGCAAGAAATTGGATTCTTTGATACCAAGGAGGTCGAATGTTTGCACAATTGCTTAAACGTCTACGCGAATTCTTAGATACAAAAATAGGAGAGATACGTTGTGTTTCGTTTTTTTTTGGTACGAGGACTTCGTGACGGTGAAGGTAGTATAAATAGAAATGTTGTTAGACTTCAACGAAGTGTTATTTTGTTTATTTCATTCTATTCTGTTCTGCATGTTGGGACTTCGGTTATTCGTTGTTGGACGGAACACGCGAGGCATAAATATTATAAGAACGTTGACCAGAAAATAAATCTGTTCTTGTTACATATCATATCATTAGAATACATTTCCCCTAAGAATCGATAATAATCAAAGTTGATCGATAGAAGATTGAATCGTTTCGAGAGTGAGAGTCCAGAATCGGTCTGGAATAAAATTGGAGGTGGTCTGTGCACTATACAACGATAAATGTTATTAATAAGCCACCACGTGCTGCCCCTGGTTACGTAACCCCCCTCATCAACGCACAGTTAAGTGTGTGCGATAGCTCAGACGGGAGAGAGTGGCGTTTTATCGTTCGACCTGGCCTGGTTCGACGGTTGTTTGCTCGTAATCAAATCACTGTCGTCCTCGATACATAGAACCGGCGATGCTGCCGCTGCAACGATTGCACCGATGAAGCTCTGTCGTTCGATAACCGCGATTTACAGCGGCGAATTTCGCAAAAGCTTTACGAAGTTATTGACAGCGCGCGCCGGTGCGCGCCGTGAATCAGGATTATTAGCGATAGCCGACGACGGGAAAAGAATGTGAAACGTCAGGGGGAGGGAGTGTTGGACACCCACGTGTAATCGTCGGCTGACGGGATTTTCCGGCCGATGTTAATCCATTTCGATTTTTCACGAATTTTATATTTCTATCCTGACCAGCTATAATATATGACCTAGGAATAATTTTAGCCCAATTTATTAATTTCTCCCATTTATTCTATGGTAGGTTTCTCGAGTTATTTCAAGCGATTGTTTGCTTCTTCTTGCAGCGGAGGGATTAGACTCGGTAGGGATTAAGTTTGCACCTGTAGAACAGTCGTGATAGGAGTGGGATATGAAGCTGCATTATTGATAGCATTAGTTGTTATATGATTAGAAAATTTTTAGTTTAACATACTTCTAACGGTGCTTAACCCTTGCACATAGTACCTTATAAGTTTTCTGAGTACCGTCCAAAAATAGAACATAAAAATAGAATATAACAATCCTTCATTTTTTACTATATTAAAACAAATTGTTGCACTCTTCAACAATTTTATGTTATATCCCAAGAACTAATAATACATACAATGACAAGAGATATGTGTTGACTAGCACTATTGATGATTATTGATGCAATGAAACATTTAATATTAATTATTTACTCTGAAACAAAACAGTGGTCCATATCACCACCTTCTTCCATACTTTACCAACTCGTATGGATATGACGTTTACAAACAAGTATTGATAATAACATAGTAACAATACTATAATATTCGTTACAATACCGTCGACATCAACAATCAGAAATTCCATCGTGTCGTATAACCTTTTCCAAGCCATCGACACAACGAAAATATATTAAACCGTCTGTTTCCAGTGACCTAGAGTACAGTCCAAAACAAATATTTTCTTGTTCACTCTCTCCACTGTATAATCTCTTTCAGTCACAAGATCAGACGGTATAAATCAAATAGACGAAAATTCCCCTTTCAGAATCCGACTCGAAGGAGGGGGGCATTGTTATCATCGGAGACCGTTCGCGCGGGCCACGACAAGCCGTTGGAAACAGACCAACTCGAGAAGGAGGAAAAGACAGTGATATCAACGGGTATGCCCCGTGTTTATCGAAGGAGGTGGGAGCACCTGCCACTTCCAGCACGTCGGGAAAGTACGCGATGGATCAGTCAGTGGCCGGCGCACTCGTGAGATCCATCGAGCCGCGACGATCTCTCGATCGGCATTGAATCGGGATCGACCAACAACGTGATCGTCTCTAACTGAAACCTCTGTATCACGTGTTCGCCATGCCGTGGAAGGGGGTAGGTTCACACGACGACGCCACAACCCCTGTGCAGAGGGGGTGGCGACAGCCACGATACGAATGACTTAGGGTTCGATCGTGAAATCATTTTTTATCGGGGAATCCTTCTTCGGGAGGTTGTTTGTCTTATCTTTCTGACACGTTCAATGAAGTGGAAGTCTTCTGTTTTTCTAGTGAATAATGGGATCGCGAGTGATAAACGTGTGTAAATCGACTGTTGGAAAGTTCAGTATGTCTTTCGCTAGATTAAGAAGGTTGTTCGGTTAGATGGATTCAAAGAGATCGAGAAATCTTTTTTTCCGTGATTCGTAACCAAACATGACGTTGGATTTATCGAACGGAATAAGGAATATACTGCGGTACGAACACGTGCGTTGTGTTATCGACACTTTTTGAAGGTGATACGTAAGAATCTATGAAGTTATCCAGAAGCAGATGGCATGCGTGTATAATTCTTGTAGCCACGATAACGTGAATGTTACATTCATAAAAAAACAGTGTCGACAAACCAGGTCGGTTTCTTCGAACTTCATTTCTCGATTTCTTCACTGTCCACGTGTACATTCGTTTCCGACGCAGTGTCTCTATATTCAAATCACCGTAATTTCCCTTACGGCCAATCAAAACTGTTTTGCCAATTTTCTCGTCGCTGATAATTTATCTCGTACGTCCGTCACGTAAACGTCGTTACACGGTCGCGCGTGGTGCAATAACAAAAAAGAAACTGGCGGCGTTAAAAGAACTAAAAAGAAAAAGCCTGAAACACGGCGACGCGATAATCGTTCGAGCTTGATTCTTCTTTTTTTTTTTCTCTCTACTCTCTGTCTCGATCGATCGACTTCTTCCTTCTCGTCTCTCAGTTCCGTTCGAGGTGGATCGAGAGAGAGAGAGGGGGGTGCGTCTTTGACGTATCGATTCGATAACTTTTCCCCGAGCCCTTCTCGTTTCGTCAATGGAAAAGTTTCGAAGGCTCGAACCGTCCCGATTTATCGTCGACGATGCACCCACCACGTCGGTCGTCGTGGAGAATTCGCGAGGCGAAGAAGTTTCGTGCCCCGGCTAGAAGAAACGCGAAAATGCGGACGCGATGGAGAGAAAAAGCCCTGGTAAATCGAGAAAGGGTTGTAATTGTCCGCAGACCCGGGGGAAAATAGTTTCTTGCCTCGTTCGTTGGCCCCTCGCTAATGACTCTGTCGAAGTTTCGAAACGTTTTCGGAAATATCTCCGGTGTGCTTGGAAAATTGAAGGAAAAAGATGACGACTTAACCTCTAAACGTCTATCTTATATTTAATTCTTGGTGATCCGGTTTTATAATGTATCGATGTTGTTCTGGCCGAATCTACATGGTAATTAGAATCAATTATTTTTATCAGGTAGAATGTTATGATAAGATAAAGAACAATGCGCGTGTGAAATGAATGTTATCATAATTTCATTTTTAGTAATTGCAAAGGGAACAGATTATAATGCTTTGGTCTATTGTTGATTCCTATTCCTAAGCTTTTTACAATTTTACAGTGATAAAATATTTATACTCTTTCCTTTTTTACAGTATTGACATAAACTTTTTTGAAGTTAAAACGTGTTGATCTGTTTCTGAATGTTAGGTTTATTTAATTATTTTGCACTTCATCGCGGAGCCTTCAATTTTGTGTCGTTCGAGGGGCCGAGGAATGCACTAAAACGAAACTCGTTAAGGAGACAAACATTTTTGTAAATCGTCAGTCGACGGCCATGAAAGCCATTTCTATTTCAATGGGTCCGTATATTTAAAGCAAATATTCTTGTGCTTGCCAAAAGTTTAAATAATATAAACTCTGGAGTAGTCGAGTTTTTCTAAGTTATTGGTTAAATTAACGAGACTGAGGAACTCGTTTATGGTCCTCTTACAGTAAACGGAAGGATACTAACTTTTTAAACCACGGCTGGCCTTCATTAAGCAACTAGAATTCTTTGAAGAACTTCGTTTAAAGAAAATTGCGAATCTCTACCTCATTTCAGAAATATAATGTGTTTGTTACGCGACAAATGTTCATAGTTTATCACTGAAACCACTTTTTGTCACGGACAGTCGCCAATATATTTTTATAGTCGTTGAAGAAAAAGAAACTATTAAGCAAGAGGATTTCCTTAAAATTTCAAGCACACGAGGAAATAAATATATCGTTATTATTCGACCAGTCCGACCGTTCATTAACTCGATCCGCCATAGAATTTCGCTAACGTTTATCATTCACGAGACACTTTTGCTGACAAACATGTACCTCGGCGTGATCTATCGTTTCCACAACTGGTCTCTGTGTCATTTAAAAGATTTAAATTCGATCACGACACTTACTGTTCAACTTCGTTATCAAACTTTTCTCTAGTTATCGCCTCCAGTTTCATTGAAAGTTATAAACGTATGGGCAAAGTACTGTATTAAAATTTCTGTTCCATTTTGAAAAAGACAATCGCAAAGAAACATCTCTTTTTGACTTCTTTAAAGAAAATGCCATTGCCTATATCTCTTGTGGACATTAATATCATAAATATCGATAATTATAGTACATAAATTTGTGAATTACCCGAACCCATGCGCGTATTCAAATATTCTACATAATTATAACAATTACAGTATGATTTAATGTCACTATGTGAATTGAAATATAAATGTTACCGTGAAACGTATTTCCATTGCATAAATACGAGACCATTGTTATGGAATCAAATGGACCCTATACATATTCGTCATTCATTCGACCGCTACGTAATTGAAGGTTAATTCACCATACTGCATACAGTGTAATAAAAAATGTGTCTTAGACCTTAGGAGCATATGGTGCTCAACCAAAGGAATAAAAACTATCCAACCACCATAGGTTCTAAAATCAACACTTCCATTGTAAAATTAACTTTCAAGAGTAATAAGTCAGCCCCTAATGCCTTAGACCCTCATTTTTCAGTCACTCTGGATACTTCACCAAACGCAATCCCGTAATCTCGAACAATTATCACAAGAAATTACGAACCTTACATTACTTCTGCAAATAACATCCAACGTGTCATCATCCTCCAAACTTCTCACCTCTCCACTAGCCGTGGTCCGCAATTTCCAATTCATAAACCCGAACTCCCGAAAACGGGACAGTTCCTAAACTTAAGGGCGAGGGGATCCCCGGACAAGTCACTCCGATTCCCTCCGTGTCGTCTCGACAACCTCGATTCGACTTTCAGTCCCCTTTCTCCCACCTCCACAGTTGTCGTCCATTAAAGCGTACCGGGGAAGTTTCGGTAGGCACGCGGTGATTTCCCAAGCCCCGTCTCCGAATTTAACGAGCCTGGCCAAGAAGTCGCCGAGAATTTTGCGACGGCAATTCCGCGGATTTTACCGCTCGACACCTCGCGTAATTACGTTCACGGCGTCCCCTTTGAGACACTTTTATTCGCGGTACGTGCCCTTCCGTCCCGAGGACCGCGTCCCCTCCCCCCCTTCCGCCTGGAGGACCTCATCCCCACTTTCACTCCTTCGCACCTACGCGTTGTCCGTTGAAACACGCGACACCAGAGGGGGGAGGGTGTACTTTGAACGACCGAAAGAACGCGGGAAGGGGGGAGGGGGTACGGAACGTGGAATTCCAGGCACGAGGAGAATTCCTTTTTTTTTCCCTACGTGCGACAGTCTCACCAGGGAACGAAATCTTTTTCAGGTGTTACAGCTGCTGGTGCTGCAGGGATCCTTGGCCGTCCTTGTCGCCGGAAAATCCGGTAAGTCTCTTCGTCTCTCTTCTCTCCCCGCCCTTCTGCGAGATAATCGCGCTTCGCGTAAGCTGCTTAGGGACCGGACATTGTCTCGAACACTCGGACGCGTTCAGATCCCGGGGAGGAGGGAAGGCGTAATGCTTTTGGACAATTCGCGTTATTTGTCTCGGGGCTGGCTCACGGCCGAGTTTTCTTGGATTCCTGTCCCGAGGATGGATGCTGACGGGTGTTCGCGAGGACTGATGTACCCTCGCGAGCAAACTCGGCTTCCGCTAGGGAAAAAAATGGCGTAGCAGAAGGACCTCCTATAATGGTAGGAAATAAATGGTAAATCGAATGTTAATTTGGCATATATTTCAATTCCCAAAATCAAGTCACAGGACGTCCTTCCCCTACGTCACCTTTTTCCCTAGTGGAAGTCGAGTTTGCTCGTAGGTGTATATTATGCAACCCCCTTTCACTTTTTTCTTTCCGATCACGCTCTTCGGGGGTATTTTTCGTCTTGATAATTGTGTTCTGGAGGGTTAAGAGAAGTGGGTCACATAAATGCAGTTTAAAGTCCTTTCAGTGAGTATGATTCGATGCTATAAGGCAAGATGTTGAAAAGCCCAAGATAGTGCAATGGGTTTAACTTAGACCGTTCTGGGATAAAGAACGTCTAGGAATTGGGAAACGTTTATTGGAAATGGATTCTCGATGAAATGTTAACGTTCTTACTCTGTAGTTTCATTAACTAAATGTTTTGCACATTTGGGGGGGCTCGATTCTTGTTCATTTTGCGTTATAGCGGAGTTATGCTCGGGAGTTGGCAGAAAAACTGGAACTCGAGATATGGACACGCGGGACGTGACGCCGGATAGCGCTTTGGAATCGAGATTTTATGCAGATCAGCGACATCAGAGGCGCGAGGGGTGGCGTAAGATTAATTAAGCGCGGTTTTTGCGCTGTGTCCGCACCGTACCGGTGAAAGCACGAGGCACATTCGCGAACGATGGGGAAATTCATAAATTTTATTACCAAAATAGGGAGTAATAAAATATAGGGAGTAACTCTGTGGGTGTATATAAAGCCAAGCGATACTCTTATTCTCCTAGTTAATCACTCTTTTCAAATATTTTAATAGCTTGGCTGTTTTCAGTATACCACTTCTATTTACTGCTCTTTACCGCACTACATAACTACAATACTTAAATTTCAAGTATTCTCAAATCATTTCTAGAGTATTTTATTGTTCGCAAAATTTCTTCATTCACTCGAAGATCATTTATTAACCCTCATCCGCCTCTTGTGCCAATTTCAAATATTTTTCTCTTAAGAAATTATAGTATTGTGTGTAGGTAAATTTAGCTATGGCTCTTTGAGTTCCAAATTTTAAAGAATTTTCAAATTTAATTATTTATCTCTTCATTATATTAATATTTTTTATCACTGCGTTAATTTGACACCGAGGGATGTTGTCCGTTTAATAAAACACGTGAATATTAATCGTGTCTGTTAAGTATCAGAATTTGTTAATAGAGAAAGAGGAATGACTGTGCAAACGCCGTCTTAGTTACTTCCTTCCGTATTTCTCCCTTCTCTGCAGTCTCCAAAAGCGTCTACTTCTCCTCCCCTCTCGATTTATCCACGCGTTCAGCTTCGCTTCCTCCACCAATTTGTCTCCTACGAGTACCGTCTGCTCGGCTCACTTTCATGGAATTCCGCGTTTTTCTCTTCCAGTACCGCGAGTGATCGACAAAGACTTCTCCCGACACGATACCGTCGAAGAGAACGATCATGACTTCAGGACCGTTCCATTCAATCTGGAGGAGACTTACGACCAAAGTTTCCGGGCGAACGGGTTCAACGGTACCTGGAGAACGGACACGGACATTCTTTATACCGATAACTATGCCGGTGACGTTCGTACATTCGATGTGACGTCGGGGATCAGCAGAACCTTCATGGATTCGTCGATCGTGGTAAGACACAAAGAGAAACAGAGAGTGGATCGACTTGTCCTGTCGAGAACGGTGTAGTATCGATCGAAACAGAATTAATCGAAGAAAAAATAACATCGCATCGGGGAAAAATAAATAGAAATTTGTATTTTTTGAATCGTTACAATTATAGATTTTTTAACTTTCACAGTATCGATCGAAATGGCGTCTGTTAGTATATTTTATATTTTGTTCAGATTAATTCTCATCGAGACTTAAAGAAGAATCGAGAATTATTTATCGACAATTTGTCACTTTGAAGGGGATAGAATATATTGATTAATTGTTATTAAATTATTAGTACAGTTTGCTCACGTTGGCCAGCATCGACGCGAAACTTTCTCTCGAATTTTCTCTGTTACGTGGTATTGCTCTTTGATTGTTGTTACTCACGGGAATTTTACCCAATTAGCTGAGTAATTCGACTTTAAAGAGATTTTCAGGTCCTTTGTGTACGAAGCTTTCGAGAACTCGGTCCATACTGTTGAGATCTGAAGAAAGATTCCGAGGATTAAGGGTTTCTCGCGAATATTAAATTAAGAAAGTTGGATTCTTAAAAAAAAAAAGAGAAATGCAAACTTTATCCAACGGTGGAGGAAATGCAAAGAAATTGAAAGAAAAATTCCTTGATTATGGAATGATTCTCTTTTTCAACAATGTTTAGAAAGGGAACACCTGATATTTTCTGTTAAATTTACATTTTTAACCTTTGAGTTTTTAGTTTCAGAGGGAATTAGTCCATATCTGGGGCCCGTCTTTCCTATTTCCATTAACGGAAACGGTCACGGATAACAAAAGCGTGTTTAATTAATCGCATGGAAATTCTCTGTACGGTCCTGTTCCTCCACGGTGAATTACACTGTCCACTTTCAAGCGCGAGAGCCAACAAACGATATTGATTCAGGAGACATGTTTTCCTCCGTTCAGTTTTCCCAGCCTCGAATCATTTGCGTCGTGTTCAACAATGTTACGCTGTCCACGGGAAACATCATCGGAAAATTACGCCGATTATGAAATAAAATGAAACGCGTATTTCGCTCACTTTAATCGTCACATTTTATACTAATTAAGTAACCCACTCGAGCCAAATATAATATTTCTCCCAAATATCGCTTTGCCCAATCGCAGAACGGTACTATTTACCTCTAATATTTGCCACGTTAATTATTCCGTTTGCTCGAAGGTTACTGTTATCGTAAAATCGTGTACACGTTTTTTCGTTCGAGAAAATACGACGCAAAAGGCATCGATCTCTTGGTCCGTGGTTAGCGACGAATTAGTGGCACGTTATCGGTCGATGCAAACCGATCCACGATTCATCGTGTCGTAACGTATACACGATAACCAAACACGAGGTCTGTTTTATCAATAGGAACGTTACAACGTTATCAAACGTTTGGATCGGCCAAACATTGACCTAAGTGTTTTGCTTCTGCTACTTTGATATCACTCGGGACGTTTGACATTTATGTGTATCTTCCAGACCCACATTCCATTTGTCCATGACATTCTAGGATTACCAACGTTGTATCATTTAATAAAAATGTGTTTATATGACAGTTTAACAATTTATTTTTTCAGAGCTCTTACGACAAGCCACTGATGACCTTTTCCCACGACAACTCGTACATTCTGATCAGCTACGATTTCACCGCCGTAAGTGTCGCCATCGTATCGCCGCCATTTTGAATTCTTTCCACTTATCGGTCGAGTCACGACCAACATTGACCATTCAATTATCCACGTTTAATATTCAAACCAAATACTCCCTCTTCTTATATCCTTCATGCTTCTTCGTTTGTCATCGAGACAAACGAAACTGCAAGGAATTCTTCATAATTGTTTCAGGGCTTCCGGTACTCGATGCATCAGAAGTTCGACGTTTACAGCGTGGAACACAAGTGAGTGTTTCTCGGTCGCATTCTCGTATACCCACTGATAAAACTTTAACGATCCGCTGATAAACTGAATCACGAAACGATGCAACCGTCCCGGTCGCAGTAATGATAAAATTAACGTTCGTTCTACTGTTTTCTATTCCGTTTGTTAACCACTCCACGTGCGACGGTACAAAGTGTCCACGAGATTTCCACGATAACGACCTAGGGGGTAACGATCCAACCGATTTGTGTTTCGTTGCTATCCTGTACAAAGCCGATCGATTCGATTCCGTTTGCGAAATCCTTTCGAATCCTTTTTGCTCGTAGAACCTACACGAAGATCGCGGATGGAAGACGTATACCGTTGGCGAAATGGTCGCCGAATAAAAACGCATTGGCTTACGTTTTGGACAACGATATTTATTACCAAGAGTTCACCGATAGCAGCGGCCATGCTCGACGATTAACGCACACCGGCGTGCCCGATGTCGTTTATAACGGCGTGCCTGATTGGGTTTACGAGGGTAAGAACATTATTAAAAGGATTGTTAAATGTTTATTGTCCCAACGGGAAGCATCGATATCCACGATGTTGTGGCCAGTTCAATGCGACTTTCAATTCGGTTCGATTCTCATTGGACCTTTTGTGAAATTAGTCAATTGTATGAATGATTGAAGTTAAAACCATGTTTTAAAAATGCTTATCAGTGGCTGTCAGAAATTAAGAAAATATGGTTTCTGTTATGAATGCCAGAAGTTCATTAATTTTGAATATCTGATAAGTAAACAGCGAGTGTTTATACATTTATAGCAGTCGGTAATTTGCCAAATGCAATAAAATAAGGATTTTAATAAAGTTTAATTTTATTTATGTGTTATTACTAATGTAGTGGAGTCTTTAGTACAGAATTTAAGTTTCAGGACCATTTTAATTTTTGAATGTTCGTATCTAAAATTGTGAATTTGCACAAAATTCTGCAGTCCACTGACAAGTGTCAGTTGACACTCGCATCACGTCACTGTAGCCTAATCGGTCTTCATGATGTTAATATTTTTTTACGTTTCACGAAAAAATTGATGAAAATACTAATTTTGTGTATATCCGTTCTTCACAGAGGAAGTGCTCGCATCAGCGGTGGCCCTCTGGTTCTCCCCCGATGGAAATCACCTCGCTTTCGCGACCTACAACGACACCAGGGTGAAAGATATGTCGATCCTATATTATGGGAAGCCAGGCATTTTGGTAGATCAGTATCCCACGGAAGTGAAGATCAAGTATCCGAAGGCGAGTATAACAAATCGCGGACGAGAGTTATTAAAATGAACCTACTGAGGGGTTGATATTCGTGACGGGATGGTACGAAATTAAAGGGGAAATTTCATGGTGAAAAATCAAACGGATCGGATAATCGTTTCTTCCCTTTACCCAATTTGTCCGACAACGAAGACAGTCGTCGCGGAAGGACCAGATTAGGGAAGCTCAGCGGCGGCCGACTGGCCTCGTTGCCGGCTTTAAAAGGGGATGAAAGGGTTATCTCTCGCGCGTTTAACCCCCTGGTTTTTCTCACCGCTCGGGTTTCTCCTTCGGTGGCGTTCCATGTCCGATGCACGTTAAAGAAAATTAACTTCCATTTGGCCCGATCGTCGAGATTTCTTTCGCGTTAAACGTGTGTACCTTCTCCACCGTTTTCTTCTTCTTGTTTTTTCTTTCTTTCTTTGTGGTACGTGGAAGCAACACAACGTGTTAAGAATCAGTTACGGTGGCTTTTCAGGCGGGCAGTCCAAATCCAATTGTAACCCTAAGCGTCGTTGATTTGGCTAATCTGACCTCCAAATTGGTTAATCTCCAGCCACCCGCTGACATCGTTGGCGTGTAAGTATCCTCGAAGCTGCGCTGTCATTATAGCTGTCGCATCGGATTAGCATGATTCTGAACAAACAGGCCGCGCGTGGCTACTCATGATTAACGGGTAATACGTGTGACTTCATTCCCCCTGGGTGTTTCATATCTTATCTGTAGCGATAATTAACTCTGACAAACGCTGCTATTATAGCTATTCAATCCTGATGATTATATGTATAGTTCTTTACAATGACACACTCTTTATTTTTAATACAGGGTGAGTCAATACGAACTAATATCTGTAATAACTTGTTACCTACTGATTGTATCAGAAAACGTTTTAACGAATTATGTGGCATTTCAAAGAATGCATCGAATGGATACAACCTGACTTTGTCATATCTTATCTTTTTCGAGATATCAATGTGATGTGGAGTTTGTTCAAGGTCAATGCATCTTTTGTTAATACCACCTTCTGGTCTATAGAAGAACGAATTCAGCGATCTATAGCTCGATTATTCAGCCTGTTAAAAATATTATCCAGACGTCCTAATATTTACACAGACCCACGTGGTTTTGGCATTCTGGGATAAGTTTCATGGGTCCATCACAGTCCTGTTACCAGAAGGCACCCTTGCCTTCCCCACTCCACGGTCAGATCATACAATATCCGTATTAAAGCAACGCAACATCAAGTTGCTCGCCATTTCCAACTTTCTCTCATCAGTTTTCCATAAACAAGCCCACGTCACCTAAATCACCCAGCGTGGTCTTTCGCCATCTTGCGATACCAGGTCTTGTTCAGTCTCATGCACCGTCCTTCAAGACTCTATCATAAATCCATTAAGGGTAAACAAGCGACAGGTCATCCATCTTCGACTCCACATATAATACGTTGACCTTGCTGTCTACCTTGTTGACGCTTGTCCAAAGTCCACATCCTCCTCGAGACACCCTGAAAGCATCTTTCCTTACAGTGACAACGTTCTGTACACGGTGAATTGGTGGGGCAAGGACCACGTGGTGGCCACCTGGACGAATCGAGTGCAGAACATGGCCCAATTGGTGCGCTACGACACTTCGGGCAAAGCTGACGACATCCTCTATCAGGAGGAGCACAGGGGCTGGCTGCGTGTACAGCCACCGGTCTACCACAATCAATACGCTGTGGTTCTGAAGCTGCAGAACTCTGGCACGAACGCTGGACGATTCCTCCATGCGACCAGATACGAGTACAAGGGCGGCAGATTGATCAGGGAGAAGGATTTGACACCGGGCGCGACCGAGGTGATTAGCATCGTGACTGTGGATCATGTGAGGCAGCTTTTGTACTACCTGGGAACAGGGGTGGGTCAACCCTCGCAGAGAAATTTGTACTTGGTGCCTTTGGATGGCACCGAACCACCTGAATGCGTGTCCTGTAACGTCCTCTCTCCTGAAGGTGAGCCACTAACAAGACTGGTCAACCGTTAACTGTAGACCACTAGTCTTACAAGGGAAGACACGGAAGTAACCCCCTCCGATTTTGATGAAACTTTGTATGTCTGTTAAGCAGTCAAAAATAAGGGATACGTATTTTTTTTTATCGGCTGAGACGCGATTTTAAGGGCTGAAACCACCACTCGAAGTTTCGACCCGAAAGTACTATTTCGAAAACCAGAGGAGATACATGAAAACTTCTAATGGACGAGGTTTCCGGTTTTTCATGTCGAATAATATGGTGCTAGCAAATTGTCCAAAATATAATTTGTTTATAACAAAAAAATTTCGGGTCGAAACTTTGAGGGGTGGTTTCACCCCTTAAAGTCGCGTCTCAACCGATAAAAAAAAATACGTATCCCTTATTTTTGACTGCTTAACAGACATACGACGTTTCATCAAAATCGGAGTGGGACACTTCTGTGCCTTCCCTTGTTAGAGAGACGAATTTGAATTTTTGTTGCCCTATTACAAGTTTCTAAAAAATCCCTAAAAAGCCAGACAAATGATAAAAAGAAATTTATTTAGATGAATTTGCAGAGCTACTCATGACGGACTTTGACACCATTTTTCTGACCGGTACTGAATTTTCCGGGTAATCGATATTTATTTCAGTTCTTAGGAGATCGGGTCCTATAATTTCCAACCACTATTCTTTCAAAATTAATTTAACATCTCGGTAACTTGCCCCGTAAGACAGAAGTCTTTGCTGATGGAAGAAAAAAGTCACTAGAAACGGTTCGAATGAATATCCATGAAATTGTTCGTAGGAAACTCTTGTACCTACGCCTCTGCGTATTTCTCCTCGGACTGTTCGTACTATGTGCTGGCCTGCGCGGGACCAGATCCGACGACCGTGTCGATCTTCGACGCCGAACGCAGGCTGCTCTACTCTTGGGAGAATAATCGATCCCTGAGACGAAGATTGCTAGCTCGTACCCAGCCGCGTGTCATGAATTTAGACGTGAGAGCGAACGGTTACGACAGCAAGGTCAGACTTTACCTGCCGCCCGATTTCGATGAGAGGAATTCATATCCCCTGCTGATCAACGTGTAAGTTGCTCGCGATGAACAGGTGTCGATCACCGGTTGATCGTTTGATGTGCGAAAAGCTTCGGATGTTATTACTGCAAAATTGAAGCATAACATATACGATAGAGTTGGGCAGAATTTTATTCGAATAATACACAGTGAAAAGCAGCAGTATCTAAGGGTGGCGTCCTGAGCTTTAAACAGTTAATGAGATTAGATAATTGTTCGATAAATGTCGATTCATTCATAAAGAAGTATTATTTTGTTATAAAAATTTTAATTTCCGCGATTAAACAATTAAAAATGACGAAATATTTTTTTTATCTTTTATTCGTTATTCGAAACTTTTTATCTAGATAATGAGTTTGCCCATCTCTGGGATACGATGTTATAGGATAGTGTTCCAGTTCCTTTACGATCCTTTTGAATGTTTTAATGTGTATTTAACCCTTTCCAGTACGTTCTTCGCCAGTACGAAAATAGCCGACGCTAAATTAGTGTCGATTTTATTTTGCTATACAACGTGAATTACTGTTGATTTTGTTTTGTAGTGTAACGTGAATTACTGTCGATTTTGCTATACAGTAAATCCTCGATGAGTGGTCAAAGGCTCCTCGTCACTGAACATTAAATATTTCATAAACTAATAGCAATATGCTCCATTTAATGAACGTCTGGTGAATCTCCGTTTAACATTCGAAATCTGACATCAGATAACGATCCTCAAATGATCTCATAATTTTAACGATTAATCGGTCTTACATCACGTCTTTCGTGTATTTCTTCCAGATATGCCGGCCCGAACACCGTAAGAATCACTGAGTCGAACACTCACGGCTTCGAGTCTTATATGGCGACCAATAGGAGCGTCATTTACGGTCACATCGACGGCCGCGGGTCCGCATATAAGGGCAGCAAGATGCTGTTCGAGATTTATCGGCGGATGGGCACCGTGGAAATCGAAGACCAGATAGCCGTCACACGGTAGGTAACCTCTGTTTCATTGCCAGGTTTCCTTGGTCACGGTGGTTCTGTTCCTTTCTGGGCGAACGAAGGTCGAAGCTTTTCGCCGACAGTGTTTTAGAGGACTCAAGATGTATTGATTTCGATTTAAACCTGAGTTTCCTTGATCCTGGAATAGGTTTCTTCCCCTCCACGAATCAATTCCCTGTGTTTATTTATTACACGATTAATTTAATGCTAGAACTGTCAAAGCAGTCAAAATATTTGGCTCATAAATTCTTTTAAAAATGATTACAAAGTTAGGAGTGTAATCGAAATGACGATAGGTGCTTAACAAACTTCAGTTTTCCACCACTTTATTGTTATTCTTCTTTTTTTTAAGTTCCCCGATTTTATTTTTGTTCGCGAATTAGGTATTTACAAGAGACCTATCCATGGATCGACGCGAACAGAACCGCGATATGGGGTTGGAGTTACGGAGGCTTCTCCACGGCCATGGTTTTGGCTACCGATATGGATTCGGTGTTCAAATGCGGCATCTCAGTGGCACCTGTTTCTTCCTGGATTTATTATGGTGATTACGCGTAATATACACAACGTTACCCTCGCGGATATGATAATTTATTACGGTGGAAAGTTTTACTCGCTGGTAACAGGAGTTCAACTCATTCCGTGACGCCAGGAAGTTGAAGAAGTGAAGGATAAGATCGTAAATTAGTTACCAGGATAAGTTCGTAATTAGTACAGACGTTTATATAAAGTGTGGCCGAAAGGATAGAGCAAGCGGGCAAGAGAGGTAATTCCATATGCAAAAGTCAATAAAAAATGGAGAATAAAAGGGTATATAACTGGATAAGGGGGTCAAAAGTACCTTTGGATCAAATTGGATCTAACCTTCTAGGCTGAAAATTGACCGAAATTCTTTTTTTTCGTAAGCTAATGGTCCAGCCCAAATCTAATTTGCTCCAGGGAATTTTTGACCCTCGAGGCTTCGTTTTCGAGATAATCGAATTTTAAAAATCTGCTGAATACACACATGAATACATGGCTTGACTAACAAATCTTCAAAAATCGCTCTCGAAATCTACGCCTCGAACGAAAAGACATTCATTCCATACTTTTGATTAATTTTTGCATACAGGCATCGACCTCCTGCCCGGTTCAGGGTGGTCCAGAATCAAAATTAACCAGCTCAAATGATGAATCCACACAAATTCCTTTTATCTTCCAAAGAAGCTCACATCAATTTACCATTTCACCATGCATTATTATTATCCTCGCACCCTTCGTGTCACCATTCTCTCAATCAGAAGTAAAAAGAAATTTCCTAAAAATTCCGACATTCGTCAAGATGTTGGAAGCACTGTTAGCAAATAATGTCATCGAATAATTCCTACAAAAATTCTCCTTTTATCCACTGTTATTTGAATCAAAATTCTTTACCGCTCGAGCTAAACAAGCGTACGGGCTGCTAAACTTCGATTCTTGCCCACTGTAGCGTGCTTTCGACAGTGTCCTGTGTAAACTCGCGTTACTCGTTCGCCC